ATTGAGAATCAAAATAAGTCTGATCTTTACCATATGTCCACAGGATTTCCTCGCCCAGTGCGACAAAATCGAGGCTTGTATATCAGACCATCTATCAAAGATCCAGTCAAAAAACCTGGCTTTGGCAGAATAGTGCAGTCTCTTTAGTCACTTATTCTATACATTGCTCTGTGAGCAATGGCAACGTGTGCAGAAAGCTTCACGTGTGAAGCAGATCCTGGTTTATTTATTGCTGGTGTGAAGCAAATGATCAAGTGGAAAGAAGGATGCTGGTTATCAGGAACGATGTTGGATACGTAACACAAGCAAATCCTCCTGGTTCAAGACAGATGCAAAGTGCCGACTGAGAAACTTTAACCATGAACTTGCAGGAAATGGATCACATGCCATTTTAATTAGCTAAAAGAGCTGTCAATGCCAAATATCTTAAAATGTCCCGTTTGTTGCCCTGTATGTCTAAAACATAATGAGTTTTGTTCCTCATTGTGCACAAGGTGCAGTGAATGATTTATGATCAGAAATATATAGACACTGTTTAATTGGGGAAGTTCCAAAAGGCAATATCCACTCAGGATAGTGGATTGTTCCCATTGGGCCACAAGAGCCTTATTATGTTGTGTGATAAACATTTATTGCCCTTATGGGTCTGAATGGGTCACTGTTCCCTGGCTTTTACCTGCCATACTGTCTTTTGAGAACAAGCAATCAACTAGCGACCTTGTACAAGGCGTACCCTGCCTCCCACCCCCCATGACCATGAATTGTGAAAAGTGGTTAATTAAGAAAACTGATGAGTGGATTTTCCAATATGAGTCTGGCACTTGTGAGACTGGCAAATTTTCTTCATCATATGTGATAAGCAAAATTTATTTGGGTTTTAAACTGATTGGCCCAGAGCAATAACAGCAAAATTACAAGTAAAAAAAGAAAAGGTTAGTACTGTAGGAGTGTCCATATATCGCAATCGCATGTACTATATTCAACATCAAGAATCCTAAGAAATCAAGCACCTAAATCCAGTGGCTGATCCTGAGTGTTCATGTATTTTTGAATCTTGTGCTAAGACTGATGCATCACATCAAATTCTTTGGTTTTAAAATAAAACTTTAAAAAAATAAATAAAGAGCACTGGTGATTCTTCTCAGAATACATTTTAATCTCCACGTTTATTCTATAAAATACAGCTGATTCATTTGCAATAACAGACATGTGGTGTCAGTTTATTTCCAGCTTTATCCGTGGGGGTCTTTTTATACATCTCCACTAGCTTATAGAGACCCCCTAGTAGTGTTATGACAGATGTGCAAACAAGCTTTCAAAGTAGGATTGGTTGGAGGGACCCAGAGGTCCAAAAAGCAGCTTAAACAAATGAGCTTCAGTAAAGTAGACCACAGTAAAGCTTTGTCATGAGCCAAATTACAGGACATAGCTTTCCTAACTTGAATGGAAACTCATTAAACATAGACATGGAGTAAAGAATGAACCCACTAGTCATCCTTATCCTTTGCACCGTGTTTCAGAATACGTGTGAATGCTACATAGTTGAAATTTCCTTTTTTATCAATGGGCGCCTCGCGGAAGAGCTCGTCCACTTCTTCATCTGTAAACCTGTCACCCATAGTGGTGAGCAGCTCCCGCAGGCACTCCTCCTGAATCACACCTGTGTGAAGAAACAGTTTCACTCTTGCAGGTGCTTCCTGATGTTAGCACTGAGCAGATATCTTCAAATTAAGCACTTACTACAAAACAATGTCTCTACATGCCAGAGTCTGAGACAAATTCACATAAAAAGATGCGAAACTTAAACAGTTGAACACATCAGCTCACCTGTGCCCTCCTCGTCGAAACAGGCGAAAGCGTTACGGATCACTTCCTCTGGATCTGTGCCGTTCAGCTTCTCTCCGAACATCGTCAGGAACATGGTGAAGTTGATTGGGCCAGGTGCTTCATTCATCATGGCCTCCAGGTACTCATCTGTGGGGTTCTTACCTGGGAAAAAGCTCAAGGTCAGAGTGACTCTAACCTGCTAACCACATTTAATGGTTTGTCTTTAGAAAAAGATTGAAATCTTTTAACTTCTGAATACGAGCCCCAAATAATGCAGTTTTAACTCCATAAGACGTTATCACTAACTAAATATGTGTAAATAAATCAAGTTTACCTAATGAGGCCAGCATGTCATGAAGGTCTTCTTTGTCGATGAAGCCGTCCCTGTTTTGATCGATCATGTTGAAAGCCTCTTTGAACTCCTGGATTTGAGACTGATCAAACATGGCAAACACATTGGAGGTGGCACGCTGAGGACGCTTTTTGGTGTTCTTTCCCTTGGCCCTTTTGCTTGACATGTTGGCAGGTTGTTAGTCCCTCTCCTGTAATACAGGAACATGAAAGTTGTCAGCTTGGATCAAGCAACACGTTCAAATGAAAGATTCATTCACATTTTTTTCTTATCTTGACTTCATTACTGACGCTCTCCATCTGGTGAAAGTTCCTTGGTTACACTGGCTATTAAGTGTCTTTAGATTATTTACTGTGCAAGCTATGAACTGGAAGGTTAATGTAGGTGAGTTCAGGCAATGCATTTAATACTAATGAAAACTTATTAACATGGTTACAAGATGTTGGTAATTCAATTTAAAGCCAATTTGGTTGACACTACTATCACATTGTCATATAGCCTCCTAATTTGCCTTTTTTTAAAAAGCAGCTAAATATTATACACTCAGTGGCCACTTTGTTAGGTACAACTTTACATTAACACAAGTACGTAGTCAACAAGAACATCATGTGCCACCAACTCAGTGCAGTCTCTTAACAAAGCAGACTTGGTTAGGAATGTCAAATATAGTTCAAACTGAGCGTGTGGGGGGGGGGCATTGTGACATTGGTGCCAGATGAGATGATGTACTCGGATTTTCCCCACACAACCATTTCTGTGGTTTACAGAGAACACTCTGAAAAAGAGAAAATATCCAGTGAGCAGCAGTTCTTTGGGTGAAAATGCCTTGTTATTGCCAGAGGTCACAGGAGAATGAACAGACTGCTTCAAGATCAAAGGGAAACAACGGTAACTAAAATATCCACTTGTTACAACCAAAATAATCTGAACACACAATGCATTGAACCTTGAAGCAGATTGACTACAGCAGAAGAATGGACTTCTAGTGCCACTCCTGAACAAGTTACACACTGACTCAATAAAACTCTAGAAGACTGGAAAAAATCTTCCCTTTTCTGATGAGTCTAGTTTTCTGCTGTGGCTTTTAAATGGCAGGGTCAGAATTTGACATTAACAAGCATGGATCTATCCTGCCTTGCATCAACAGCTCAGGCTGATGGTCACAGTGTATTGATGTGGTGGATATTTTCTTGGCACACTTTGGGCTCCTTAGTACTACCTGAGCTTCATTCAAAAGCCACACCCGATCTATTGTTGCTGATCAGGTCCACCCCTTTACCAACACAGTTTTCCCATCTTCCGATCTTTTTTTATCTTTGTTTTGACATCATGGATGTGCACCAGAAAAAAAATTGTGATGGCATCCTGTCTATATGGACCAGCATATCTGAGAAATTCTGTAAGCACCTTATTCAATTTATGCCTTGAAGATTTAAACGAATTATGACAAAAGGGGGTCCAATCCAGTAATGGGTGAACCTAACTAAAGAGTCTGACGAGTTTAGCTCAGTCTATGATCACTTACAACGGATATATGCACTCGGTACTTGTTTTGTGATACGAAAGCACTTAAGTTGTCATTTGTTTACTGGATATTTATGTTATTAGATCAATATAATTTCAAATTATGCTCACCTGTCACGCAATAACATAACAATAACGCAAATATAGGTATTGACATGTTGTTTACATCACTCATATTTGAGCTGTAGCACACACGCACTACATAGCGCAATGCAGGAATCACACAAAATTTCGAAGAAAACCCCTTAATTATTTGCCAGCTTTGCCAGCTAGCCCCTTGCTGACCTAAATAACTGACTGACCAGGCTAGCCTTAGCGAGCTAGCAGAGATTTATTCACAAGAAAAAAACGAGTCCTTAGTCCTCAAACTCTGCAGCTTCATAAACATAAAATAAATCGCCTACCTTAGAAAAAACGTATAATTTCTAGGCCCCAAAAGCTGCACACACAGCTACCACAGCATCCACAAGCTGATGAAGAGGAACATCAATGTTTTATTTCCTCTTGCCTAAACTGACCAATGAGAGTGAAGTTGGAAGAAACCAACAGTCTGGAATATTCCACGCCTTGGGTTTGTTTACGTCCCTCTCCTCTTCTTGTTTTGGATGAAATGACCTACGTACTGTTTGTGGTAATAATAAATCCATGATTTATACACTGATACGATTATAAGTACAGCCTTAATTGAATCATGTTTTTTATTTGTCCGGACGACTAATAATGTAGTCAACATATGTCACCACTAGGTGGCAGCAATTACTTGCATGTCCAAGACGTTTGTTTGAATTAGCCAAAATGGTTAATGAGTCTTTGTTTTCAATATTTAATAAGGAAGTTGAACCACTAAATATTTTTTTGCGCAGCGGAATAATAACGGATCGATTTCAAACAAATAAGCTAAACTATAATCTGAGGGAAAGTGAAGTTTAAAACTTAACAGCATTGGTGTTAAATTTGGTCGGTGGATGATATGATTGTACTAGGTTAGCAGGTTTTTGTTTTTTAAGACTGAGAACCAGTCCTCTATTGTATTTTCTTTTATTAGTGGCATTTTTTCTTCTTCTTTTTTCGGTTTGTGGTGCAGTTCATATGCCTTTTATTACAGTGAACTGGGTGAAACCACTGGAGTCCTGCATATGCCCCTGAAGTACAGTACACAGCGGAGGGCCAGGCCAAAAAGAAGCTCCTCAGCTCAGCTGGCCTGTCTCATGGTCTCATGGTCTAAATTTAAAGCTGCCCCAGCCTTAAAAGGTCCTGACGGTGTCTTGCGCATTCTGCCGAGTGGCAGCATTATTTTTGTTCTGTGGACTGCCGCCCTGTCCACTGCCCCTCACCCTGCTGCTTTGCCTGGATCTCAACTTGCTTTAGCTACTTCTGGATTAACACACATTTTCTCTTATTTTCAGCGATTGTGGATTTTTAATTTGTGGTGAGTGAGTGTGCATATTTTCTTAAATAAGCTGAAGTACTTATGTACTCTGGTTATCATTTAAAACCATGACTCCATAAGGCCCTAGGCCGGCTTCCACTGTATGATTATGATTATTTATTTTTTACTTAGTTTGTTTATAAATGTGTTTTAATTAATCAGTTTTATTACATAGCCTACTAACAGGGTTTTGTTCATTTTGAGAACTAGTGCTCTGGTATATTAGCCTGCATGTGTCATTGTAGTGAAGTGTCATCCTAATCTTCCAATTAACACCAGCCTTACCTTACAAAACTTTACGTTTTTATGACCTGGACTTGTTAAAATGTTTTTAATGCATTCTGTGCCTTCATGGCTTACAGTCCAGTTCAGTGTGTAACTCTGGATGGCTTAATCTGCTTGTAGTAGATGTTGCTCAAGCACATAAAAAGGAGAAAATAGTTTTGTGTAATTTGGGAGAAACTGCAGATCATATAGTTACTGTTGCCTGCCTCCCAGCTGGAGCTGCTCTTCTTTTTAACCTGAGCCATATCTAAAATAACTTAAGTGGCCTCACATGGGGAAAGGTCAGCTGGATGATATTATTATTATTATTATTATTATTATTATTATTATTATTAGACAAAATATCAATATTCATTCATTCCAATCTGCTTTATGTTGTCTTACAATAAACATAAAACCTTTGAAGTTGGACTTTTATTTTGAAGAAACAACCATCTAGGCTTTAGGAATTTGCCATTGTCACAATATTCTGACATTTTATAACTCGGATATATGAATAACTAAATAACCCTCAATTAAGCCAGTACTGAACATAGATATTTGGTAGCTTAATTACACAAAACCTGCAAAATCAGTAAGTATATTTTAACTTGTTCTTGCCATCTGTCCACGCTTGGTGTCCAGTTCATCACAAAACATTTAAAAAGCCCACTGCAGGAAATGATCTGACTGTAAATTTACATATTATTGTTCAAGACTTCCTTCCGTCTTCTTCCTCCCTCCACCCTAAGCGGTCACGACAGATGGCTTTTAACAGGTTTCTTCCTGTTAAAAGGGAGTTTTTCTTTCCCACTGTCGCCAAAGCACTTGGTCAAAGGGGTAATATGATTGTTGGGGTTTTCTCTGTTGTAGGGTCTTCACTTTGCCTTGAGGCAACTGTTGCTGTGATTTCACAGTACGTGAATAAAGTTGAATTAAATTGAATTGAAAAATCATCAAAACCACCAGTTTATCACCTGCTGCTTCATTTAACACAAAAGTAGATCTTAACCAGAGCTAACACATAAGCTGCTTGCCCAAAACAAACAAACAAAAAATCACAATAACAAGTTTAAAAACATATTTTTAACAAGCAACCAATTCTCTTATCCCTTAATCCCTGCTCCTACTACCTTATTACCGGCCTCTGCACTAGACTAACTTCCAGTAGAGAAACCAGTCTTTAATAATAACAGTCAGATTGATTCACAGAGCGGGTAAAGTAAAGGACAGTCATTATAAGTTGGCGGAGTGGCCGTCAGGATGTCAGCATCATTACAAGTGACGCAGAAGCTGCAGCATCAGCATCAACATCAACATGAGGAGAAGCAGCAGCAGCATCTCTATGAGAGCAGCTATTACCTGAGCAGCAAGTCGTCTGTTAGCAAGCAGTCATTCTCAACTTTCAAGACCACCAGCCATCGGTAAGAGGATTAGAGTGAAGGGGTTGCAGAGTCCAAGGTTGTAACCTGCCACTCCTAGTACTTCAGAAATGATGAATGTTCCCCTTCAAATATTCAGCATTGTGCTTGTGGTCTGAAGTGGGTTTAGCAGCAGGAAGGAGAGTGCGTGCATACCAAAAAGGGTTTTCATCGAGAGCAGGTGCTTTTTTATGCTATAATTTATTAATTGATTTTCTTTTTTACGGTAATAGATTTTTAAAAAAGAAAATATAGCACTTTTTAATGTTAACATACTGTTGTAGCATGGCCTTTAAAGTTTTAAAGTGTATTAAATGGTAAATCATGAGGGTGACAACGTATTTTCCTTCCAGCTCTTTCTCTACATACGGTAGGTTTAATCAGGAATTAGACATTTAATCAACTCTGAAGGAAAAAATGTTTTGTAATAGTTGTTCAAATAGGAAAAAGCTGGAGAAGTGTGTAAGTACAAGTACAAGAAAGCAATAGGGTTCAGGGCCTGGAGTCTTGGTGTAATAGCATGGGGACCATTACACATGGCTGCCAGGTAAACAGAAGGATAGATGTAAAACAACAGCCACTCTCCCTTGTTTTTTTATAGCTCAGATTTGTGAACTGACTTTTATTTTAAATCTCATCTCTAAGTGTCAAAGCAGACATGTCAATATCGAACCTCCTAAATTGTCCAGTTATATGAGAGTAATCCACTTATAAAGTCTATATCTTAAAGTAATGTTTCTAAGTTCGTATCCAAAGGCTTTTTCTCATGTGTTTGTGTTTATACATGAGTTTTGTTGCTATTAGAACATCTATTTAAGGAGGCAGGTGCATAGGAGAGGGACAAACTGATCCAATGTTTGACACAGACTCCCACACACTATCTAACTTGGACAAACTATTTATTTGTGATGCTTTGGCGCTAGACTTTCATGAGGCATTTTGCCAGCAAATAAATGTACTTTTGCAAGTTAAACATTGTGGGAGAATGTTTGCAATGTTGGATCAGACTGTAATGTTTAAATAAAATAATTTCCACTGTGTTAGAGCTGATATATTGACATACTTTTATCTATTAACCCACTGAAGTAATACAGAAAAACAGTGAATGCAACAATACAACAACAGCATTACAATACAACAACATTGCTAAGACATTTATTTCTTCAATGAAATAATTTCTTTTCTTCTGTTCATTTGTTTTCTGTTCTGTTAAATTGCACGTTATTGTTATTAGGCCACAAGCTGAATAAAATATGCAATTTAAGGATTTCAATTTGATCAAAAAGGTTAATAATGGCAAAAGGTTTACAGCCTTACCTTGACATCTTTAAAACTACACATTAGTGAATATTGTAAGGAATTTTAATAAAGCCTGACTGATTTATTGACAGGTCGATACTATTGGACAATGATAACTGTCTGCTGCTCTGTCAGCATCACCATTTATAATGACTGACAAATAAACATTTAAAAAAGGGAAAGAAGATCGGAGAAACACCCTTCAGCCATATTTGAGTGTTGATGTTGCAGTGTTTCTCCACCAGAGGGCACTCTGTAACTTCTTTTAAGGCAAGTCTTTCAAATCCCTTAAACACAACCAGCCTACGTAAATAACTACACCTATCAAATACTGGAAAATCTGCATATGTTTCATGTGTCTGAAAAAAAAGAATTAGCCAATGTATCGGTATTCCTCCTAATTAGAAATATATCAGTCAGGTTCTATTTTTAAGCCAGTGATTTTTCTTGGGCTTGTTTTTGTTTATCTTTTGTCTCTGAAATTTATGAACATGCACCTTCCCGTACCAACATGCAGTATGGTTAGCATTTCTTTGTCATTTAAGCTGTGGTGCTCAGTGTACATGCTGGAGCTGGGATAACTTTCTAAATGAGGTCAAGGAAAGAATTTCAGCTGTAGTGAAGGGCTGCCAGTTATATTCCTGGACAGCCAAGCTATTTTTGAAGATGCGACATGAGCTTGTTGCCTATAAGCCAACTGTAAAGACATTGTAAAGAAGTGATGATATTGTAGCTGGTTGCAGGCTGGCTTTCACAGTAGTCTGATAGGTATTAACTCGTGGGCCAGTAGTACAGCATAGCTGTTGTTGATTTTAAGCATCTGTGTCTTGTTTATTTACTAAAAAAAATAAATCAATTTGTACTTTACTGATTCTGATTTTCAGACTGACATTCTGTAGCTTGTCAGTCGGAAAAGAAGTGCTCTTTTTCAGCCATCAAACTTTATTACCTTTGACTTTGTTTCACACTGAAGCAGGCATCCTCTCAGCTCACCTGGTGAGTCAGCAATAGAAATAACGTCCTGACATTACAGCATCTTTTGTGAGACTCCCTCCATCTGTCTGTCTCTGCTGTGCATTGAGCACCTTCCACAGATTGCGTCCTGCTTCACCAGTACATAACAGACTTCATCAAAGCCACGCGTTCCTGCTTCCTTTTCATGCCAAATGGATAGACTAGCGCTGACTTGGCAGAGATCATGAGTGAGAGTGAGGCTTTAAAACAAGTTTTATGTACAGCAGTCCCAGTTCCATTAAAAAAAAAAGCCTTCTGACAATAGTGAGGACTAAGAGGCTAATGAAACAGACTGTAAATGGGTCAGGATCTTAGGGAGCGGACCGGAATACATCTTCCTCTCTGAGTAACTGGACTATAGCACCAGCTGAATATGTCTTTATGTAACCACCATATTTATTTAAATGTTTAGTTTTGAGTGAAACAGAAACATCAAAAACAAGCACAATATCGCCCTTCTGTCTTTGTCAAAATCCTGGTGTGTTTCTATTGTAATGTGATTCTTAATATTTTCCACCAAGAATATTTTTGCATTGGTTGTAACTGGGTAAAGAAAACTTTATAAAAGTTTGTGTGATTGGAAGAAAAGACTGAGAACCACATTTACTATTATTGTTTGTTTGTTCCAAGAAAACAAGCGGATGCAGAAGTCTGATTCTGGCTCAGGTTGTTTCTCTGGCACTCAGCTAACTGGCATTTTATTTCTTCTGAAGATGAAAATTATTATTTTTTTCTTTGAAAAAAGCCAAGGAATCTTCCACAATCACTCAGCACATCATTATTTAATAAAATAATAATAATAAAAAAAAAATAATCATGCAATTTATTTGGAGCTACACTGTTGCTTTAGTAAGATCAATTATGCCTTTTACCTCTTAGCAAGAAGATCTCTGTGAAGACAGAGAAGGGGCAGGAGGTGGTTAAACTGAGCCCACTACCCAAGAGAGCCAAACGCACCTACCTGGCAATGGACAAGGACAAAGAAGTTATCGGCTATGTTATTCCGGTGTTTAGAGCCAAGTGAGTATGCAATCTGAGTTTGTGGATATTTCTTAGCAAGTAATCAGTATAATTTCTGAGATTCATAGTGTCCTCTCTGTTCTCACATCTTGGTTGGTTTGTATCGTTCTAGTCATGATGTAGTTCGGGGCTTAATGGAGGCCCAGGAGGAGGAGGTCACAGAGGAGGGCATCAACTATGTGGCCATGAGGAACCTGTTTGTCAGGGAGGCCAGGGAGGCCATGGAGGTGAAAGTGGAGAAGAAAACCAGGTCAAAGCATGTCAGGGAATCTGCTGAACGCCTGGAAATGAGCAGGACGGTAAATCCTTTCCATAGTTTTGTGAATGCAAAGGTTTAACCATTTTCACATGACCCATACAGGCGTTGATGGGCTTCATATCACACACTCCCGCTACAGATGGAGGAATGGTCGGAGTTCCGTAAGAAAATGAACCCAGACAGCCTGACACACCGCCCAGAGTTCATTGTCAAGCCCCGTGGACAGACTGTTTGGGAGGGCAAGGATGTCAAGTTGCACTGCACCGTGGCTGGATGGCCCAAACCCAGGATTGCCTGGTACGTTCCAGGTTTATAAGTTCCCTTCTTCTCTGAGTCACAAAAAAAGAGGCTGATGAAAACAGTCTGTCATGCGTGTGTCATAGAGAAGTTTCCATCCAACACGTCAGTCGAGTTTATTTTCCACAGTTGCCACATAAACACCTACATGCACCATGGCAATTAAAAACTCTGAAGACAAGAGTAAAAATAAACGTTGGTTTTCTGCTGCTTTTAAGGTATAAAAACAACGTCCTCATCGATGCCAAAGCCCACTCCGAGAAGTACACAGCTGAGAGCAATTACAACATGCACTCTCTGGAGATCAAGAAGTAGGTAATCATTCAGCTGGCCTCTGAATTAACAGCACACACCCAAGATAAACGGTATTAGTGTTTGTTTGTTTTTTGCAGCGCTGAATCTATTCATGCCGTTAATAGTTAATCGTGCACCAACATTTTGTTTCCAGCTGTGATTTCTTCGACACTGCTAAGTATCATATCTCTGCCCTCAATGTGAAAGGGGAAGCTTCTGCTGTGGCCTCTGTGGTTGTGAAAAGTAGGTAACTCGTTTAATGTTCTTTTCCACATGTCCCTCTCTGCAGCAGCTCTAGTCGATTTCAGTTAGCAGTCAAAGTTCAAAGTAGAGGTTTAAAACTCAGCAGTGTCCTACAGTTGTGCCCTGAGTATGTTTCAGGAGACAAATCCCTCCAACTCGCGGACCACAGGAAGGTCTTAAAGCTCATTCACGAGCGTCAAAGGGGCATTTCACCCCTCTGGCCTGTAGATCTATTTTTTCATCTATACTCTTGTGTTGAGTTGCCAGTTTTGGTAGCTTTCCGCCAAAAAGATGTCTGCCTTCTCCTGAGTGTAAAGATAGTAGCCAACACTTTTGGAAGAGCCAATAATTACATTTGAATTCAGCAGCAGTTTTGTTTCCCAGTAGTCTGCTGCTCAAAATCTACATACCTCGTTAGGGGAAGTTTTAAACGGCCGCTATTTTCGTTTTACCAAACTACACATGCCAACCGTGTCACTGAAAAATGAAGTGCACATTTACCCATGAGAGGAAACATAAATGTTGTCCCTCTTCATCTGAGTTGTAATGTTAATTAGCTGCACACCTCTTTTGTTGAGCAGGTATTGACAGGATGATGGCTCTCGCTGTGGTTCACTAGAGACTCAAAGCTTAAGAAATGGCTCTGTAACCCTTTCCAGAGAGACAGATGTCAGTGATGTTTTAAAAAGAGCATGTTTAATTTCTTATATATATATATATATATATATATATATATATTTAGTCAGGTTATCTATGTCTAATATTAAAATGTATTTGATGATCTGAAACAAATACTTTTCACATATAATATAAATTATATCTATCTGATTCTATAGTTCCAGAGGTCAGAGGTCAACATCCCTTTTATAGGTTTTAATAACTTTGTTGTATAATATTTCCCCATAGGGTTCCAAGAGGGTGTTGAACCAGGCCCACTCGATCCTAAACCACGTGAGATCACTTTATATATTATAAACAAACATTCTTTTTTAAATTATATAAAGTAAAGTAGCTCTAACCACACATTTCTGTTCATTATCAGTTTTATTTTAGCTTTTTTAAGAATTGTCTTTATTAGAGATGGTAAATTTAGCTATTTTGGATTAAAGTCAACATCAGTATATTTTCAAATAAGCGTTAGTGGAGTTCAAAAAGAAAACTGCGAGGAGGTTGAATATTGGACTATTGAATAAAAATGTCTGCTGGGTGTGACCCTTTAATGCTGAGATCCTTTTCTGTGTCTGTAGATGGTTTTAGCCCTGAGCATGGTGTTACCTTTGAAACCACCATTATTGACAAATTTGAAGTGGCTTTTGGCTCTGAAGGGGAGACGTTGAGCCTCGGCTGCACTGTCATCATTTATCCCACTGTGAAAAAATACCAGCCTGAAGTTGTGTGGTACAGAAACTGTAAGTGAAAGAATAAAATGGAAATTGTGTGTTATTGTCTTTCTGAGTATTAAGGTATCAAACCCCACTTCTTTTGGTAATCTCCTGTCTCATCAGCTGTCCCATTAAAGCCCTCTAAGTGGGTGCACACTCACTGGTCTGGGGAACGTGCCGTACTCACTCTTGTCCACCTTAACAAAGAAGATGAGGGCATGTACACCCTGCGCGTCAACACCAAATCTGGCTATGATACCTATGCTGCCTACGTGTTTGTCAGAGGTAAAGGGCTTAAAATCCTCATCTAAAGGTTACTTTTTTGCAAAAGAAGTTACTTTTAGTTTTGTTTTAAACCAAACTGTTGCAAGTGTTATGTTCAAACTGCTGCATCATGTCATAGATGCGGTGGGGAGGTGCTAAGTTCTGCTGTGTCTTTAAGTGAGGTGTTTGGTTCCCTCTGAGAATTTTTATATCTATATATATTTATATGTGTGTGAGAAAACCAGCTCCAGAGACTGTTTTCTGGAAATCCAGCATAAAGATTAAAAATATAGGGATTTAGTGATATAAATGTATCTTAGTTGCAGTCCTGCCACTCATACTGTAAACAAGTAGGTCAGAAAATGGAAACTGGATATGTAATAGAGATCAGCTTGTTTTAAAAACAGCACCACTCACAAGTAACTCAAGTAACACAACTGTGTGTGTGTGTGTGTGTGT